TGTGTGTGTGTGTGCGTGTGTGCAATTACGTAAGAATGTCTATGTATATATACATATATAGGCCAATAGGATTTTATGCAGAAAAATATGTAAATTCATGACTGATCCTCATAACTCTTTCATTTGATTCTATATATTGCTTACACATCTCTCGAAACAATTCCTCACTCTAAAACTGTAAACACAAATGTATTTTTCCTTTTACCTATTCAATCTAACAGTCCAATACTCATATCTTTCCACTATCTTCCATTAACAAATCTGTAGTTACTAAACGTCCCGTTGGCCAATTAAGATTCCCCGGACAGAGAGTTAACTAACATCTACATCATAGCCTGAGTTTTCTGGTCTCGGGCACACTTCTGGCTCAGAATAGTCCCTTTGCCAACATAATGTTACTTGAGATTGCCTTCATTTCAAACATTCCTGTGGTTTGATAACACTCATCAGATAAAAAAAAGGTTTCTCTGGTTCTGCGCACTTGTACAGCTCACCTTGTCGTAGAAAGGGAGGCATTTTGGCTTCTTGGAAACACTCACAAAAGAGTATCGTTGCAGGTAAGACTGCAATTTTATATCCTAATGAAGACGACTTAACAAACATCTATTGTGACAATGTAGCTTACGAAGAAACGTAAATTGTGTTATATCTTAGAATAAATAGACCTGATGCCGCTTGTTTCCTTGTTTCACTATTTCTTTGAAATATCGGAAGCACTTGCTGAGGAATGCTAGGAGACGTCGGTGCAATATCCAGGTGGAATTCTTGCCTTCGTCAGCGTTCCTTCCTCGCACGCGGAATCAAACGGAAAGTCTCTGAACACGCTGAACTGACCCGCCTCGTTGGCATGAATGAAACCGAAACTGATTCGAAGAACGTTTCATTCGAGACTGTTCGAACGCGTGACGCACGATAGTTTTAAAGCCGCGCCCACGCTCCTTTGGGTAGGACCTGCGCCAAGTTCGCGGGGAGCCAAGGAGGGCATGGTCGTGGCTTCCTTCTTGCTGGTGGTGTGATGAAGATGATGCCAAACGTGGAAGTGATGACTCGATGAGGACGACGCTCAGCCGAGGGCGCTGTTCGTGATCTGGCACTGACCGAGCGGGTTGAGGGAGGTGTTCTGTGGACGAGAGAAGCACAAGCTTTAGATTAGTGGTCTCAGCCTACGAGTATGTGTCGTACCTCATCTATGTATATTTCTTGACTCAGATTACTCTTTTCTATCTGAAATACTGGGAAAATTTGAACGTTTCTGGTTGGAATCATGATAAGGAAGAGGAAAATATTATCGATAATACCAAATAGAATTATAATAGTAATGATTAAGAAACAAGCGCGTGCTCGAAACTATCCTAACTAAATGTAGCCTTTGTGTGGTCGGACGAACTGACTGATCAGGCAACTTCTTATGCTTTTCCGTAGTTTGTTCGTTTTCAAGGGAATATAACGACACATGGCTAGAATGTATAATCCATTCGTACAAATATAATCTGGGTGTCGGTGTGTCACCAGAAAGTTATGAACCTATGGTTTAGATTAATGAAAAAAGTACAGGTACACAAACATGTATATAGGTATATAGGTATAGGATATATATATATATATATATATATATATATATATATATATATATATATATTATATATATTATATATATATAATATATATTATATATATATTATATATATATGTATATATATATTATATATATATATATATATATATATGATATATATATATATATATATATATACATATATATATATATATATATATATATATACATATATACATATATATATATATATATATATATATATATATATATATATATATGATATTATATATATGTATATATATATATATATATATATATATATATATATATATAATATATATATATATATATTATATATATATATATATATATATATATATATATTATATATATATATATATATATATATATATATATACATGTACATATATATATGTGTGTATGCGTAAATATATTAATATATATATATAAATAGGTATGTGGGGGAGGGAGGAAGTGTGTGTTGTGGTGTGTGTGTGTGTGTGTGTGTGTGTGTGTGTGTGTGTGTGTGTGTGTGTGTGTGTGTGTGTGTGTGTGTGTGTGTGTGTGTGTACAAGAGCGACTGAACCATCCGCACCCCAATCCCGGCGCCTCACCTTGGGGCACTTGATGGTGGGCTCGGTGCTGTTGGGCAGGCTGCGGGGGCTCTTCTCCTGCGGGATGAAGCGCGGGCGGCACTTGCGGTTGTAGTCCTTCTCGGCGCCGGGCTTGCACTGGATCAGCTCGGGGGCGTTGATGATGCCCCCCGCTGACTGGCGGCGCCCGCGGTGCGGCATGTACTTGGGGAGGGACTTTTCGGACGACGACGACTGCTGCCCTTCCTCCTCCTCCTCGTCCCCCTCTTCCTCCGCACCCTTCTCCGGGTCCCCTGACGAGGAGGACGTCTCGTCGGTCACCTCCACATTGCTGTCCCCGTCGCCGTCCTCCACGTCGTCGGCGAGGCTGGGTCTCAAGTCCAGGCGCGTCCTGTTCTTGGGGGCGTCGTCGCCGCCCAAGCTGACGTTCGTGGGGGTTTCGGGCGCGGTGGGCGGCGGGGAGACGGGCACCCGGTGAGGCAGGTTGGGATTCTTCCTCTTCTTTTTCTTCTTCTCCGTTCGGGTCGAATTCTTGGGCGCGTCGACCTTCTTCCTGCGCCCCTTGCGGCCCTGACCGCGACCGCGCCTCCTCTTCTTGCCGCGGTGCTTCCGGTTGCGGCGTCGGAACTTCTTGCCGCGGCCCCGAGGCTCCTTCGCCGTGCCGTTGAGGCCCTCCTGCGGCACCGGAATGGGGGCCGAGCCGCCCGTCTGGTCGACCTGAAATCCATAAGGGCAAGTTAGGGGGATCAGACGCTTCTCTCAGTCGGTCGCTCTTTCGGTCCCCCCCCCCCCTCTCTCTCTCTCTCTTTCTTTTTCATTCTATGACTTCTCTCCTCCTCCCCCCCCCCCTTTTCTCTTTCTCTCCCCCCTCCCTTTCTCTTTCTTTCTCTCTCTGCCCATAAGCACTCCGCCTTACCTTCACAATGTCTTGGTCGTCTTGGTTCCTCCGACGAGCCGAATCTCTGTCGCTTCGCCTCTGCTTTACTCTTTCGATCTTCTCCCCTGCATCGGCATCCTCGGTCTCTCCTTCCTCCTCTCCTTTCTTTCGTTTGTGCTTCTGTCCCGTTTTCCCTCTCGCTCTCCTCCTCTTCCCTCCTCTTACCCCCTCGACCTGGGTTGTTCCCGAGGGCGACGGCTTTTCCTGCAGCAGCGTCTCTATCGTGGCGTTCTGCTGGGCGTCAGTCTGGCCGGATTGTTGACCCGGGTCCGCCCTCAACCTCGCCAGCAGGTTGCGGTTTCTCTGGTGGCCCTGGTTCCTGTTCGTGCTGCTGCGGATGCTGCTCGGCGACCTCCTGGACGCGCCGGGTCTTCTGCTTCCATGGCGACCACCGGGGACAGAGGCGTGACCCCTGCGGATAGCTTTCGCACCCGTGGCAATCTTCGTATTTCGAAGGTCAGCGTTGCTAGAACCAGCGGTGCCTGAGCCATAGCGTCTGCGGTGACTTCCAGCGCCACTGGAAGACGCATTGGGGAAGCTGTTGCCGTTAGTGATGATGGTGACGTTGGCGATGGAGATCGGGGAACTGTGGCTGTGGCGAATGTGGAATACGGTCACGTTGGAGCTGGCGGCGGGACTGGTTCCGCCGTGGGCCGTGAGAGGGCTGCCCCCCCTGCCGCCGGGCGCGGAGCTGCTGTGCCTCGGGCTGGCGTCGATGAAGTAGCTGCCGGTGGCGTTGCTGGACCTATATCTGCGGACCCTCCCAGCCCTTCGTCTTCGCTGCCGGCGGGTTATCCAGGTCGGAGGACGAGCCTTCCCCAAGGGCTCGAAAGAATTGGGGATTTCGCGAGTGTCCAGGAAGGGCACGATCAACTCGGAGTCGCCAACCTCGCGAGGCCCTTGGGCAACGTCCCTCTTGTCCCGAGGGATGCCCTTCACCTGCAGGTTCCAATTTTCGACCTTGCTGGAGTTGAAGATCACGTAGGACAGCTGCCAGTGTGAAGCAAGCGTTGAAGTCTCATTACTGTCATTATCATCATTATTATCTTTATCATCATTATATTCATCATTATTAACATTATCAAAATCATTATCACCTCAACCGTCATCACTATCACCATTACTAATCCCGACAAATACAGCTACAATATACATCCATCACAATGCCTTTCAACAGTCAAATTCCCTTACTTCGTAGTGTTGATACTTGTTGCTCTCGGTCGCTGGGAAGGACATATACTGGAAAACGTATGTCTTCGCAGCCTGCTCCAACCCCGCCTCCTCCAGGGACACGCAGGTCGCCTCCAGCTTGTCCGTGTCGAAGCCAAACCTCTCCCCGTTCCCGCAGGGCCCTTGCTGTGGGTCCGAAAGAGGAAGGTCAGAGTGCGCGTTCCACGTTAGAGGATCTGACTTCTCTCAGTCGGTCAGTCTGTTTCTTTCTCTCTCTCTCTCTCTCTCTCTCTCTCTCTCTCTCTCTCTCTCTCTCTCTCTCTCTCTCTCTCTCTCTCTCTCTCTCTCTGAGCTCTTTAATGTGTGTGTTGTTTGGTAGTTAATGTATAAATTCTAGTTATATTATTTGTCTTAATTCTAAGTGAATCGATGCATCATATGAATACATTTGAGGGAATCGATGTATTTGTTTTAATCCTAGGTACTGATGTGTCATTTGCAGAAGTCCTAAGGAATCGATGTATCATTTATTTATCTTTTTAAGGAAAATTATGTATCATTCGTATAAATTCAAGGGAAGTGATATATCATGCCTAATATCTCGGGAACTTATCATAGTTTCTTAATATCCTTGGGGATATATGTATCATTTGTCTTCAGTAACATTTATTCAGTGATCTGTGACGTTACCAGATGTACAATAAGTATTTCATATTCATCC